CTTTGATATCAGTCTTCGTCTATCCACTTGTTCTTTGTGGGGCAACTTGATTCAATACACTTCTGTGCAAGGTTATAGGTTGGTTACTTCTATGTGTCTGTTTGTCTGTGTTATTCGTTCAATGGAAAGACGACCTCTCTTCAACATTACTTATCGCTGGTTAGTCTTTCATTCTAAAATTCAGTTGAATTATTATGCATTGGTGATCTGAACGACTCTGATCAGAATCTTGTATCTATGCACTCTATCTCACATGCTTTATGCGGTATTTAGCTTATTATTTTAAATTGACCATCGGTCATGTTTAATCATATTATCTACAAGACACGTTGTTCTACTATAAATCTATTTATCGGTCACTGTTGCATCCCAGTAACTGTATGTTTTGCTACTGAGGTGCATACTTAATTAATTAGAAAGTAGAGTTCCGAAATTCACCTGCTGTTTAATAGGCACAAGGCTTTACTTCTCTTTCGTCGTGACTTGACTCCTAAATGCAGTTCGATTGACTGTTTGCCTTAACGATGATTGAACAACTAAAGCCGTCTATTAATTCAGGCTAATATGCTTCAAAGCATCACAATCGTAAAACTAGACTGCAGGATTCATTGCTCGAAAAGAAGTAATTTTTGTTGACTGGTCATTGAAGACCAACCAATCTCATGTTATCGATTCGTGAACGCTTGTCGAACCTTATCGATCATTTTGAAATGCTGTTATCTAGCTAGCAGATGGGTTTTGGTTGGTGTTAGTTGGTTGCAGGCTATCAGTAGGCAACCGAGTCCAACTTAAGTCTCATGCTTGTTGTTACTTGTCAGCATGGAGTGCCTGCTATATCAAGAGATTCAAACTGGCATCACGCACTTCTGCAGTCACAGATGGAACCGTATATCAATGGAGTCCAATGATTCAGTAGTAATTTCAGACAGTCAGTCATACAGTTTCGAATTTCCTCACATGGAGGGGTACATATAAGCCTTGATGACGAAAGCCAACAAAAACGGAACTTAGATCCTCAGCCTTCTTGTCCACTGCTACCCGACTGTCACACTAAAGAACATTATTATTATTATTATTATTTGTCCTTTAGTTTCCCAGTGTAACATAAGGCTTCAGTAGCATGTAGCCATTTTACTCTCTTCTACCCAGTCTTTTCAACCTGGCCCCACCACTACCCAGAAGCCTTCATTTCTTTCTCACACCATCTCATCCATGTCACCTTCACTTGGGATGCACAACTCGTCGTTTCCCATTCGGATTCCACTCAACGGCCTGGCCTGATGCGTGATGCCCCAATCGGTCTTCTCAGTGTATGACCAATGCAATCCATCTCCACTTGTTTCTGCACATCTGTTGGGTGATGTGTTCTTGGTTGGTTCGTTGCCAGACAGACAGACAGCCACAGCGCCTTCTTGCTTACTCTTATTATTCTGGCCATCTGATCTCATCTGATCTGATCTTCGCGATCGAGTGAGCGAGTGTAGGCTCCAGCTGTTGATAATGTATGTCTGTAGTTTGTTGGAATTGCTTTGTGTAAGGCGTCAAATCTCTCAACCATCACATAGAAGGACTGACTCACTTGACTGACAATAGTGTTTAAAATCCGGATGTTGTTCTTGCTTTATGCTGAGTGGTGTGTGGTAGATCTCCAAACTGGTTTCAAATGAGAAAACCAATAGTTAGTTCAACAAAGGAAATCCTTTTCAACAAATTTATTTTCAAAACCTGTACAATCGTATATACATTAAATTTATAATCATTTTTAGTGATGATCAGTGGCTAGCAGTAGAATACAGGACGCGCATTTTTCCGTATTTAAAACTGGTCAGCCGGACATACCTGCCTCCCAGTGAACGATTTTGTTCTCACTAAGACCCTCACGTGGAACCGTTAGCTTTAAACGGGAGAGCGTCACCCACTAGATTACGGAGTAACGATAATCATTTCTCGTGAGACGGGTATAGTTCTTATATTATTGTGTTTGTGTGTCTGTTTTTTGACGAGATGTAATCATAGTGAGTTGTGTTTAAAAAATCGACACAGGGTTTTATTATTCATTCATTTAAAGCAGACATGATAGCGGTCAGTAACAATGATCTAGTAAGATAGATTTGAACTGAGTTTGTGTGATATGAGTAATACTAATACTAATATAATGATAATAATAGTGATGATAATAATATAAATATATATATAGTATATATATATATATATATATATATATATATATATATATATATATATATATATATATATATATATAGAACACAATAAAGCCAAAGACATTTGAGACAACTTGACATGAGACTAATCAATGTTCAAGATGTTCAGATGCCTTACTTATTAACCACCTTAGGAACAAGGGAAACAAAAAAGATTTAACAAATTGTTTTTGTATGCACGGCTTTGGTTTCAAATTATGAACTGTCAAGGCTTCTACAATATGTAGTAAATGGAGACGTTAACGTTCAACAAGGTTTGGGTGGATTTTTTAAATAATATCGAATGGGGTATTCGAAGATGAATGTCCAGTACCGACTACATATAGCAAAATAGATCAGTTAGTTGATCTTCTTAACTGTTTACTAAGCCATGCTGGGAGATGTTCCTGAATCCGGCGAAGAATAGACATAGACGAACAACTTACATACTTAGCTCCATGGGTTGATTCTTAAAACATAACACATTATCATTACCTGTCTTCAAAAGAAGAGCACAAAAATAATGATTATAGTTTATATATATATATATATATATATATATATATATATATATATATATATATATATATATATATATAAGCTCCTTAAAGGAAGTAGCTTCCCTCACCTATCTAGGCAGCACTGTTTCAACTACAGGCGACACAGGCACAGACGCGGACGTCAAAGTCAGACAGGATCGGAAAAGCAAGACAGGAGTTCATTAGCCTGAAACCAGTATGGAGATCTTCTGCGCTCAGCATGTGGAACAACTTCCGGATTTTCAACACCAACTCCAGTCAAGTCAGTGCTCCGGTATGGCTCAGAGACTTGGCGCGTTACGAAAGACATTTCCAACAACCTACAGACATTTATCAACAACTGCCTACTCTGGTTACTGGAGATCAGATGGCCAGAATGATAATAATTAGCAACAAGGATATCTGGCCGGGCAACGAACCAACCAAGAACCCATCACCTCACAAGTATGCAGAAGGAAGTTGAGATAGATTAGACATACACTGAGAAGGGCGACTAGGGACATGACGCGTCAGGCCAGGCACTCGAGTGGAACCCAGATGGGAAGTGACGAGTTGGGCGTCCGAGGTGAGGGTGACATGGAGAAGATCGTGCGAGGAAGAAATGAGAGGTTGTGGGCTGTCATGGGACTAGGTTCAAAAGTTTGCAGAGAACTGAGTGCACTGGAGGTATGCTACTGAAGGCATAAGTTCCATTAGGAACGGAAGGGACAAATAATTAATAATAATAAAGCCTTTAAAAATAAACCCATTGAAAAGGATTTCCCTCGCTTATTGGAATACCTATAGAGAAAGCTTTGACAACATTTCTATGTTTATATATGCCAAGGTTAATGCCTGATTGTAGATCAGTGGTTTGTTTGTGTTATGAACAAGGGGCAATGTATCTTCGAGTAATAATTTTCAATTTACACTACTAGTCTGTTAATAGCCTAATTGTGTCGGTAGATAATCATATTAGCGTTAAATTAACACAATTTTCGCATCTTGTTTAGTTCGCAATGATTAAAAAAACTTCTGAACTGTCTCAGATTTTCGTCTGAATTTCCTACTAACACCTAATGATCAATTCAGCTGTAGTCTGATTGGTTGCTCAGGGTTATTTATGCGTTGATGGATCTATGCTTTTATTCGTGTAATTTTTACCGATTTATGTATACCATCATTTTTGTAATGATACTGGTTATTCAAAAAAAAAGGACTATACGAAATTATGTACATTCATTGACAGTTGAATTAATACCATTTGCAGTTATAGAAAGCGTTAGTGATGTTTTAATAGTGGCTTTATTCACTACAGTTTTGATGTCAACGATGAGATTTCTATCATTATTATTATTATTATTATTATTATTATTATTATTATTATTATATTAGTCCCTTGGGTTCCTAGTCGAACATAGGGCTTCAGTAGCACGTCTCCAGTGACCTCTGTTCTCTGGGATCTTTTGAACCTGGCTCCACGACAGCCCACAACCTCTCATTTCTTCCTCGCACGACCTCCTCCATGTCACCTTCGGACGTCCAACTTGTCGCTTCCCATGGGGATTCCACTCAAGGGTCTGACGCGTGATGTCCTCAGTCGGCCTTCTCAGTGCATGTCCAATCCATCTCCACTTCCTCCTGCATATTTGTTGTGTGATAGGTTCTTGGTTGGTTCGTTCCCAGAGCTCCTTGTTGCTTATTCTTACTATTCTGGCAATCCATCTGATCTTCAGTAGCGAGCCAGAGTAAGCAGTTGTTGATGAATGTCTGTAGTTTATTGGAAATCCCTTTCGTGACGCGCCAAGTCTCTGAACCATATAGAAGCACTGACTTGACTGGGTTGGTGTTGAAAATCCGTATCTTGTTCCACATGCTGAGTGCAGAAGATCTCCATACTGGTTTCAGGCTAATGAACGCCTGTCTTGCTTTTCCGATTCTGACTTTGACATCCTCGTCTATGCCTGTGCCACCTGTAGTTGAAACAGTGCTTCCTAGATAAGTGAATGAGGTTACTTCCTTTAAGTTTCTCCCCTTGACGGTGATTGGAGTTTGTTGTTGTTGGTGGTGGTGCGGTATCTCCATCACCTCTGTCTTCTCTATATTCACCTGAAGTCCCGTCTTCGCTGCCTCTTCTATCAACTTGTTAGTTTTTTCCTGCAGATCTTCAAGTTTATGTGACATCAGGCACATGAGATTTCTATACATACAGTTAATGAAGTTAACAATTTGAAAATATTCTTTTTTAAAATTTAGTGTATTTCTTTTACTTTTATTACAGTCATTTTAAAAAGAAATTCAATGGAAAGTCAAACATTAACTTCTGCAACTTTATCAAGATCTGAATCTCAAGGTTCACTAATAAATGAACGCAGTTCAGATACTTTACAATCACCATCCACTGTTCGAGTAACGTATACTCCACGATTAGAATCTAATGTACAAAATAAAACTCATGAAAATATAGTCAAACATCAACAGAATACTGAAAAATCTGAGAAAATCTTTCTTCTCCCTGGAACTGAACGTGTCGTCAAGGTCACCAAAAAGTTTGTCATTTCCAATGATAATAACAATAAACAATATACTGGAGATGAGAATGATGTATTCATTGAAGATGATGCCTTTGATGATAATAAAACACAGCTTACCACTAAAATAGAAAATAAGTATTATAAAACAAATGTTTCATTGCGTAAAAGACATCAAGTTTCACATGGATCTGATCATCGTCATCATCGTCGTCATTATCATCATCATCACCAAAGTCATCGACACTCTTCTTATCATCCAGAAGGTGTGCATACCCATTCAAGTGATACGAGAGACTTCAGAGAGTCTTTAGGAAGCAATGGTTATAAAAAGCACACAACACCATCTGTCCTCAGTTCAACAGCGTATAATCAAAATAATCTAGATCAGAAGCGTGTTATTAGTCGTTTGGAGTTTATCGCTAATGAACGTAATCAATCAGATATAAATGAGAATGGTAATACATCAGGCGAAGGATATATTGAAATGAATCGTGACAGACATTCTTATGTAACTTCTCCCCAGAGTAAGCCTGATGGTTTGATGGGATTTAAGCAAAGTCAACTATTTTCACCTACTAAAAACCATCGAAAAAAGAAGCATCGTTCAAATAGCGAACGTAAAAGTTATGAAAACTCACATTCATCATTGAACAGACTTTATTCACATACACCTGTTGAATCAAGTATTTGCCAGAAATGTCATGGCCTGATATGTTCAAAATGTCATGAAAGCTTAAATTGCCTGAATACTGAACACTCTGAGTGTAGACCGTTACATCGTGTTGATGCCTATTGTAATAGCCGGTTGAATGGAATAAGTTGTTCATTGGATCATGTATACCCCTTAAGTCCAAATCAAAAGTATAAATCACTAAGTAGTTCTAGAATGCAAATGGCAAATGGACATCATCATCATCACCACCATAACCATTGTCATAGACAAATAAGTTTTGCTAAATCTATACCATCATTGAGTACACTAGATTTATATGATACTCATCCAGATCATTTAAGTATGCACAGTTTAGGTTCTAGTCGAATGGAAATTGAATATATGCAAAGTGATAACGATGAAACAACTAATATGGTATTATCACCAGAGAAACTGAGATGGATTACAACTTTAGCGCGTGAATCACTAAATAAAACAAGAGATCTTGATACGTTGGCTAAAATGATGAAAGAAAGCTTAGATGAAAGGTGTGGTAAATTATGGCATTCCATTGTAGGCGCTGAATCATATGGTAGTAATCTTGCTACTCTACCCGGAGCATTGGTTAGTTTTAGAATAGATAAATGGGCTTTTCTGCTATGGCAAACATGATCTCTGCAGGAAAAATAATGATGAAAACAACAGAGGATAAAAAGAAAAAGAAGCAATAATAATAATAGTAACCTATTCATGGAGAACGAATCTTGCATCACTCACATAATTTCATTTGCTTGTCTACTTTGTTATGTATCCTTATTGTGGCTTTGTTTAAATTATTAACACTGGTTAAACAAATCTTTGTTTCCCAATAATACAAAATCATATTGAAATATTGTACGCTTTTAACTTATCATCATGGCAAAATTAGTTCGTAACTTCCTTTGACATTTAAAAAAAAATTACTTTTGAATTATTAATTTTACCTAATTTTAGAGAATGGCCACTTTTTTCAGAAATTGAAATATGACTTAATTGATAATTTTTTATGAATAAATATTTGAAGTTCTTCTTATCTAATGAATTAAATTGAAATGAATATTTCACAGTTGTAAATAGTTTTTGAATGAAGTATTTCCATGTTACGACTGAGATGCTTATTTTCAATCATTAGGAAACTGAAACTGAGATCATAACTAAAGTCTACCTAGTTCAATACTTTTGTCTTTCAAATTATACATAACTGACAGTGTATAACTTTGTGTACCTCACTTACAATGTATGGTATAAGCTGATAGGTACTGAGTAAGGATATACATTATACACCGCATACAAACTCCTAAGTTATTCTTGCTTACTTACTACCAAACTGAACATCCTTGCCGCGGTGAAAAATCAATATTTTCAACAAATATACCACTAGACAGTATTCAATCCTGATGTATGTGTTTAAGTATATATGAACCAGACATAACACAATGGTGAGCAGTGTTCTACGCTTAGATGTAGTCAGTAATAAATCTTTAAAATACGTTAAACACTTTATAGAATTTATATTGTATTCTGTCTTCAACTTTAGACAAAGTTACTCATTATCTAAAGCTGATAGCTTCAGTAGGTGCTGTCATTATCTAGGATGGTTGGGAAGTATTAAGCTGAAAAACTTGGTTACAGGTTTAATTTTACTCTTAAATAAGTATTTTAGAATTTGTCCTGGTGCGAACTTGACGGACGAAAAGACCAATCACTAATTATTCGGACTTGCTATATACCCATGAGTATGAGACCAAGGAAGAACACGATTGCGTAGTCGGATTGAATAGTATATTTGGATGGTTATGCCAAAATACCGATGCGTTGCAACTAACTGGCTAGAGAGTCGAATACGAGCAATGCAACGTAACACGACAGCGTGTCCAACAGCGAGGATGCTTGACCGGGTGCCTTCAACTTAGCGAGTCCAGTTGAATTATCAAGGTCAGCATCAATGTCGAGGGTCGTCAAACCCTAGGCTATTGATTTTGGGGAAGTGTGTAACGCTAAAATATGATTTGAACTCATTACTAACGAAAGATATGCGTTAGATTGGACTTAGCACCAAGCATTTTACTTTTAAATGTTTAATTACACTTTAAGGCCTCGGAAAAATATTTTTATCAGTAAGATAATATTGTAGTGCACCTTCCTGGCACCAAAATATAACTAGGGCTAAAATAAATAGTTTAAATTAAATTAACTAAATAAATCTCTAGCTTGCCTCCGGATGCTTAGGGTGTTTTAAGTTTTGTTTTAACGAGCATGCATCCGAGCAGGCTTGGACGCCATTTTTGCGCTCCATTGTGCTGATCACCACGCACGTACTCCGAGTCCCTAGTTCAGCCTTACAAGCCAGATAAGTTGATTAAACTTTTCCCTCATTCATTATTATAACATTTACCTTAAATACATAGCTCCTTTAAATACATTGCGTATCAGTTCTTTTGATTTGTGTTTTGTTACCAGTACTTACACGTTAGGTAAAGTACTGGTTAAGCAGGTACTAGAGCACATCAAATTAAGTAGGGTTGATCAAACGTTACGGAATTGTAACACGCATCCCTACAAAAATTGGTGAGCCCGAGTATCACTTCTTATTTTGTCTAGTACCTTTGTTCTCTTGCGTTGATTTGTCTGGCCTATTTTTGTTTTTGGCACGTCTAGCGTTTTTTTTATATTATTGCACTCCTCATTGGTTATTTTTGCATTGTAATTTTTTTTTTATCACTATCGTGCCTCGTTAATTCCCTGATCAATGGCGGATAACGACTCGACTGCGCAGATGGCCATAACCCTCCAGCTTCCCACCTTCTGGGCCCACAGACCATCTGCATGGTTCTCCCATGTGGAAGCTCAGTTTGCCTTGAGACACATTCAATCACAAGAAACTAAGTCCAACTTAGTCATCGTCAGCTTACCGGAAAATGTGATTGAAGACGTGTCAGATGTGCTAGATGACCCAGCACCGAATCTTTACGATCGCCTCAAAACCGCCCTCATCAAACGTGTTGCACTTACTGACCAGCAGAAAGTGCAAGAACTTTTCAGGGATGTGCATCTGGGTGATCGCAAGCCGACGCAACTGCTTCGTCAGATGAAGCAGCTGATTGCTGACTTCAACATTGATGAAGCATTTCTCAAGCAACTGTGGTTACAGAGGTTACCACAGTCGGTTCAAGGGATCCTCGCACCCTTCCATAAGTGTCCCTTAATAGAGTTGGCGGAAGCGGCTGACAGAGCTGTGGATGCTACGAAACCCAACACTAGTATCTCAGCTGCACTGTCTACTGCCACGGATTCGTTCAAAACCCATCCTCCTTCGGCTGTTGAGCCAACAAGTTTCGATGTTATAGCTCACATCTCAAAATTGTATGAAGAGTTGTGCAGCATCAGGAACGAAATGCGGTCTGGTAGTTCTTACAAAGGTCGCACGTCTCGCTCGCGCAACAGGTCTGCCTCCCGTACCGATAGCAGACGTTCCAAATCGCGACAATCCCAACCCAGGTTGTGCTGGTACCATAAACGTTATGGTGCCAATGCCAAAAGGTGCACTCGACCTTGCACCTTCGAGGCTAACCAGGCGGGAAACGTGTGAGCCAGCACGTGACGGCGACTAACGTCGCTGGCGAGCCACTTCCATGTCGCCTCTTCTTCGTCACTGATCGACATTCTGGGATACGCTTCCTAGTTGACACTGGGGCAGAAGCTAGCGTCATCCCACCTACGAAGGAAGAGCGTCTGCGGCCAATGTCTCTGCAACTTCGTGCCGCCAACGGTTCGCCCATCACAACCTATGGTCGGAGATTCCTCGATCTCAACCTTGGATTGCGTCGTCCCTTTCGTTGGGTTTTCATAGTGGCAGATGTGACCACCGGCATTATTGGTATGGATCTCTTGCAGCACTATCAGCTGCTGGTAGATGCTGGCAAGCATAAGTTGATAGATTCTACCACAACACTCTCTGTTTCCGGTATAGTCACAAAGACGCCGCCCCTCAGTCCCGTGTACTGCACGACGGACGCTTCTAGTCCCTATGCGTCTATCATTCAGTCCTTTCCGGATGTCTTTAAGCCAAGTCGTTGTGTCCCTTGTGTGACTTCGAACGTTTCTCATCACATAACGACGACTGGCCCTCCAGTATTTGCGAAACCACGGCGATTATCCCCGGAGAAACTGCGTGCTGTAAAAGCCGAGTTCGAACACATGCTTGAAATGGGAATAATCAGACCATCCAACAGTCCATGGTCTTCACCCTTGCATGTGGTACCCAAGAACAATGGCATGGACTGGAGGCCTTGTGGTGACTACCGAAGGCTCAACGCTAAAACGATTCCAGATCGTTACCCAGTCCCTCACATTCACGACTTGACTGCATCTTTAAAAGGCTCGGTTATCTTCAGTAAGCTTGACTTGACGCGTGCATATCATCAGATCCCGGTTCATCCTGATGATGTTCCCAAGACAGCCGTCATTACACCGTTTGGTCTTTTTGAGTTCCTCCGTATGCCTTTTGGTCTTCGCAATGCAGCACAAACCTTCCAACGTTTTATTCACGATGTTTTACGTGGACTCGATTTCGCCTATGCCTACCTAGACGATATACTAATCGCTAGTCCAGACGAAGACACCCATTTTAACCACTTGAAACAGGTTTTCGCCAGACTGTCAGAGCATTCGATGACAGTCAACCTGGCCAAATGCCAAATTGGCGTTCGTTCACTAAAATTTTTGGGACACGTTATCGACGAGCAAGGCATTCGCCCACTACCTGAAAAGGTACAGGCGATCCAAGACTTCCCAGTCCCAGCGTCACTTAAAGCTCTGCGTGTGTTTCTGGGTATGGTGAGCTATTATCGTCGCTTCATTCCCCAATGTGCACACATTTTGACTGCACTGACCGACCTGCTGAAAAGTAAATGTAAAACTTTCAGCTTGACTCCTGAGGCACTAGAAGCATTTCGCAAGATCAAAACCGCAATAGCAGACGCCACGATGCTGGTGCATCAAGACGTAAACCTACCTCTCAGCATTGCGGTTGACGCCTCTAACACGGCCATTGGAGCTGTGTTGCAACAACTTTCGGATCACACTTGGATCCCAGTTGCATTCTTCTCCGGAAGTTATCCACCTGCGAAATGCGGTACAGCACTTTCGGCAGGGAACTGCTCGCCATATATGCCTCAGTGAAACATTTTCGTCATTTTGTGGAAGGTCGTGACTTCATCATCTTTACCGACCATAAACCTCTGACGTATGCCTTACACACCACTACTGACAGATATTCACCGCGTGAATTACGTCACCTAGATTATATTTCGCAATTCACGTCGGACATCCGTCATATTTCTGGTGTGAATAACCCTGTCGCGGACGCACTGTCTCGCGTTTGCACCACTACTTTGCCTCGAGCAGTCGACTTACGGAAGATTGCCGAACTTCAGGATTCAGACGAGGAGATTGGAAAAACTTCAACACTCATCCTCTCTGAAGATACAGCGTTACCGCTCCTGAACAGTGAAGTGTCAATATTGTGCGACACCTCCACAGGCACACCCAGACCCTTGCCGCCGGACTCCCTAACAGACTCGTTTAGTCGCGCGTATCCTGAACCTTCTAAAAGAGCCACGTCTAGTAACACTGATCCAGTAACCTCTACACGTGCTGGGAGGCGTGTACATTGGCCCAAGCGATACGCCGAGTTCGTTAATTAGCCCCAGAGCAACTTCACACTTGGTGAATTCGGAGTTTCAACTACTTTGTCGTGGCATACACTTTCAATGCGTTTTCATACCTAAAGTTTTCAAAAGTCATGTTTACTACTTTGCAAACAGTTTTTTTTTCAAAAAAAAAAGAAAAATCAAAAATACAATTTAAATTCCGAAAACTTTTTTTGGTTGGTTATTATTTTTTTTTCTGTACTACTCCCACTTCGAATTGTTTGGTTTTCCTTTTCTTAGCACTCTAATGTCCCATTTCTTTCTTCTTGCAGAACCTAGAAAATGCGTTGAAAATTGGATACAATTGGCCGCTGACGATGCTACTTGGATCGTTCTTCGGTTCTCTTTGTACCAATTTCCCCCTGTACACTCCCCGGTAGATTAAGAAGCAATAGGGAAAAGTAGACGGAGGCTTTGGGTCACCTTCCACCACTGCGAGAAGGGTTGCGTCTAGACGCAAAGTTATCTTACCTCGTAGGTGTGCATAGTTGCACTAGCTTCGGAGACCCACACGTCACCTACTCCATCACCAATATGGAAAGGTGTTGCGTGTCCGCCTCGCAGTCGCCTCCTAGGATCGAAGGTTGCCGGTATCCCAACAACCTTCTAGGAGGGGGATAACCTGTAGTGCACCTTCCTGGCACCAAAATATAACTAGGGCTAAAATAAATAGTTTAAATTAAATTAACTAAATAAATCTCTAGCTTGCCTCCGGATGCTTAGGGTGTTTTAAGTTTTGTTTTAACGAGCATGCATCCGAGCAGGCTTGGACGCCATTTTTGCGCTCCATTGTGCTGATCACCACGCACGTACTCCGAGTCCCTAGTTCAGCCTTACAAGCCAGATAAGTTGATTAAACTTTTCCCTCATTCATTATTATAACATTTACCTTAAATACATAGCTCCTTTAAATACATTGCGTATCAGTTCTTTTGATTTGTGTTTTGTTACCAGTACTTACACGTTAGGTAAAGTACTGGTTAAGCAGGTACTAGAGCACATCAAATTAAGTAGGGTTGGTCAATCGTTACGGAATTGTAACACGCATCCCTACAATATCTTCTGATATCTCCTACCTTGAAATGGGATGTTCATTTTAAAGAGATTGGGTTCTAGGAAGGATAACTTTGATCAGATCAAGTTAGGGAACCATCTCGTTGAGTGTTTGATTGTTAGTCTCAACCATGTGAGCAAGTGTAGACTGCTTGACAGTAGTCCTCAATGGTTGGAGACTTTTGGTGACAGCATGAAATTGACCGCAATGGCTCGGGTGTACATAATCTTCTTCAACTAGAAATCTTAAACACTTTCAAAGAATTGTATCTGACCATTACATATCGTCTCGTACATTTTTACCTATTTCGAAACCACTCCCTTTCTATCCATTTGTTCTCCGCATACAACTATCAAAATTGGTTACCTGAGGATAAACAGTTTTATGCTAAGTTCTACTTTACTTCATCCGTCTCTCCATCCAAAAGTTAGGCTTTTTCGCTGTTACATTTATCTACAACACCAGTATACGTATAAGTGTTAAAACCGTTTTCCTGAAGCAAATATTCTTCCCAAAACTTCCTTTTACCTACTTCCTTCAGTTAATTGGGTGATCTGTCTCTGGAAGGAATCACAATAAACATCAAGTCCCTCTAAACAAAAGCTTGGTCCAAATTTGTTTCAGTATCATTTACACAAACAAACATGATCATCAATACTTTACATCAGCTTTTAGAAGAACTAAACCAATGAATGACCGTCATGCTCATTTCCATCAATACCGTCTGCCACTTTTGATAGTGTTCAGTTTGAAGGATAACACTGTCAATCAGCTCCTTCATTCTGTTGAATGAAGCCATCCAACATTTTACTATCATACGACTATTTTTATGGTTTCATATCAAATACTTATCTATTGACGGCTTCTGAAGGTCATTGACAGCGTTATATTAAAAATTAGTCAATTTTGTTGTTAAATTGAGGTGAAGTGTATACTGCAGATATGAGTGCACTT